TTGGTCCTCCCGGGGTGCTGGGGGGGGTTGGGCCTCTGCCCTTGCAGCCGTAGGGCGCAGTGGGATTTAGGGCCCTCTCGGGTCCCCCCTCCCGCCCTGTGCGCAGGGGTTGATGACCCATGGGCTGGCTCCTGCGGGTTGCACGGGGTTAGGGGGTCCCCGGCCTTGCGGAGGCTGCTCCAGCCCTGCTCTCCCCCCCAAAAAGCAGGCAGGAGTTTGGGGTTTGTAGGCACCCCGGAGCGCTAAGAGCCCCTCTCTGCTCTCTGGGTGCTCTCCCCCTGGCACCCTCAGCGTGGGGGGGCTTGTGGCAGAGCCTTTGCAAATGGGGTTTGCCCTGAGCCTGGGCTCCGCCTGGTGCGTTTTCTTCCTGCACCTAGATAAGTCCAATTTGTGGCTCTGTGTGCAGGAGATAATGTGAATACACCTCCATGGTGTGTGGGAGGAGATCCCTGTCATGGTCGTCTTTGCCTTTTAGAAACGCACAAGGAAGAAGGCTGTGTTTTTTCTGAATGCAAAACTCATAGAAAGACTCGTTTGTTTTACAAGGAGGGAAAAGTCCTTTGGAAACCAGGCAGTGCCAAGGTCTGCCTGCTGGAGTCCTGTGCGAGGGAAGACACCACTGCCATGCTGGAGGCTCCTGGACGGTCTGTGTGCACAGCGGAACACGATGCCTTTCCTGCACGGCTTCCGCAGGATCATCTTTGAGTATCAGCCCCTGGTAGACGAGATCTTGGGGCTGCTGGCGATACAGGATGTGGAAAGGCAGAGTGCCCTTGAGAGGTAACTAGATGGGGCTAAACATCCACTTGATATTTTAAGGGGTGATGGCTGGAGCTTAGTGATGTGGCTGAGGTCAGACACAGCACTGGCTGGGAACAAACTGCAGTCCTGGTGAGTGCCTCATCCCACAGACCCTCCTCTTGCTGCTTTTCTTTGGGAATGTTGGGTTGGAGCTGAGCAAATACAGGGACTACGTGTGCTCCCCAGGAACAGCCCTTTCTGCCTGATATATGGTAGTAAAACCTAAACTGGGGTTCAGTTGTGACCCTGATGCTGCTGTGTAACCCCACAGCCAACGGGTTAGAGACCCAGTGGTTACAAGACAAGAGGGGAGACCAGGGATTTTTCTTCTTCCCTGGTGTTACCTTGACCCTTGCATGCCCCTGAGATCTGTGCTGTTCAGCTGAGTAACTGGTGGTTTTTGTGTGTCTTAAGCCCTGCCTGTCTGGGCAGCGACAGGAGCCAGCTCTCGGCTGTTAGACAAGTCTTGGAGAGGGAGACCCAGTCCCCCTTTTATCAGGAAGGTGTGAGCTATGCCCTGCTGAAGGTCACCGAGCTGGGGCTCGTCTCCGCCGCAGAAATTCTGCTGGAGTTCGGAGCTGACCTCAGCTTTGAAGGTAAGGCTGGTGGGAAGGGGGCTGGGCCTGGCCAGCTGGTGGGAAGCTGCCCTAGGAGATGTTGATAGCTGGGGCAGAAAGAGGGGGTCCTGCCAGCTCAGACCCCCCACTCCTTGCTGGGATAGCGTGGATGTGCCAGACCCCGCCACAGGGATGGACTGGGGCTGGCCAGGGGCTTGGGGGCCATTTTGCAGCTTTGGGGGATTTTGCCAGAGATGGAGCTATTGTAAAAGCAGGATCTGGGGTGTCTGCAACAGCCCTGTTTTCATGGACATCGCTGTTCTCAAGGCCCTCCCCAGCTGTCCCCTTCCACTTCTGGCAGGTGTCGGGGCCATTCTGGAGAAGCCCTTCATTCTCTCTCATTCTGTGTTTTTGTCCTCAGATCCAGTCACCTACTACACCCCGCTGCACATTGCAGTGCTCCGCAACCAGCCGGATATGGTGGAGCTCCTGGTAAACCACGGGGCCAACATCAACCGGAGAGACCGGGTATGGGCCTAGCTGCCTGGGCACGGCCAAGTTGAGCCTCCTTGAGACTTAG